TTAAATGTCAATGGGCTCCTCGAGCATCTCTTGCCCTTCCGCGCAGGCAGGAATTAGTTCAAACGCCTGCAAGGAGCCGCGTGTCGAGAGGCAGGCGCTGGAGATGCTCTTAGTGTTGAGGGGGGAAAGAAATCAATCTGGTGCTAAATTTAGGCGTAAATATCAGGTTTAAAAATAAACTTCCTGGATACTTGTTGGTGCAAAGATTTTTTTAATCTTTATTTATTTATTCATACTAAGGTCTGGAAGCTGGACCTGGTTTCTCTCAGTTTCCCCCATGGCTTTGACATTGGCTGGGTGTTTCACAGGCTGCTCCAAGTGGAGAGCAGAAAAAAAAAAAAGGGCTATTTAGTAACCTATAAAGTCAGCAAACCCCAGGCCGGGCTGGGCCCTGGAGCGTGTTTAAGACCATGATCGTATCAGCGATGCCCTTATCTCAAATAAATACCCAGCCCTTTCCAAAGCTTACAAAACCTCCAGGATGTAAATTGGGGAAAAAAATGATCTCAGCCTGCAAAGCGCTGGTGGCAACGGCCCCGCTCGGAGCGGGGGCAGCCCCTGGGGCTGGTGCCGGAGCTGCGGTTCCCACTGCCGGGATTTGCAGGGATTATCGGTGCCGCTCCCTAAAAGCAGATATTAGTATTTTATTAAGGATAGAAATGCATGACAAATATATGCACACACATATATATATATATATGTGTGTGTGTGTGTGTCTGTATACACATATATATGTGTGTGTGTATATATATATATATATATATATATATATATATATATATATATATATATATATATATATATATATATATATATATATATATATATATATATATATATATATATATATATATATATATATATATATATGGAGGGATATTAACAGGCTTTATTAAAGCCTGGACATGTGTCCCCTCTCCCTTGGGCCTTTTCCTTTCAGCCAAGCGGGGCACAAGCAAGAGAGAAGTAAAGGAATTTAAGGATTTTTACAGCGGGCCCAGTCAAACCTTGGTGCTATTCCAGCATTTCTGTGCTTCTCCCAGGGCAGCAGCCATCCCAGCTGAATTAACAGGCTGTACCCAATTGCCTCAAAATTAACTTAAACTAATTAGATAAACTACTCCAGTAATTTCATTACCTCCCGGCCTCGCCTGGCACTAGGAGAGCGGCTGGATTACGGCCAGGGGGGACGTTTGCACCGCGGCCTCAGCACCAAGGGCAGCTCGGCACAGGGTTGTCACCCACGGCCGAGTTCCAGAGGGGCAAATACGGGGATTTTAGCAACGCTGCTGCCCTGGGGGCTGAGATCCCAGGGCAAGACCACAGCCTCTGAAAGCGCCAACTTCCTCTTGCTCCAGGCGACCCGTTAGGACCCTGCGCATCGAGGGGAATTTTTTTTGAGATTAAATACTGCTCAGGTTTGTCTGTGGTTCAGCCTGTGCTTTATGGCAGCGGCGGGTCCAACCGGCCCATCCAAAGCGCTCCCTGCTCCTCGGAGGCAGTGAGAGCTGCTCCTCTAGCGGCTGCTCCTCTCTAACCGCCCCAACCAAGAAGCAACAGGGCACTAATTGCCTGTTCATAACATCTTAATTAACGCACCGCCTCGCTCAGCTCTGCATCCTAACGTCCTCCCACTGGCTATGAGGGGAAGGTGAGCAAGGTGAGAAGGGAAAACACCAAATTCAGCAATGGAATCGCGGGCAGAAAGGCGTTTCTGGAGCCAGAGGAGCCGTTCGCGGCGGGGA